CAGAGTAAATCTATGTATAATGGTCACTTTCATGAAAGAGCAATAGATTCAAGATACAAGAATGATTGATTTGTTTTTATGTTTTAACCTTTTTAAGGTGATTTAAAAACAAAGAACTTTTTCAAGATAATAATGATTTTCTGATACAAGTCTTACTATTTAACCCTTAGCTGGTAGGAGAAGAGCTAGATTCATGCCTTTCCCAATGATGTTTGCATGTAAGTGAATATAACAAATCCCAGTGGTACTGGAATTTGGCTTTCTGATTTCTCATTCAGAGCCCTTATCCAATACACAACCCACACATACAACCTTACAGCATCCGGAATTCCATAATATCCCTGTCATAGAGGAGAAGTAATATTACATAACAGTTCACTTTTACTGAAATAGAATGGGAATATATAAACTCAAAGTTCCAAATGTATGAAAAACCTGTCAGGTAATGCATGCATGCAGATATATATATATATATATGATGTATCCTTCAAGGATGCTAATCATCATGGCTCTCCACAGCTTCCTGTCTTCTCAGCAATACTTTTTCCTGGTGTGTGTGTGTGTGTGTGTGTGTGTGTGTGTGTGTGTGTGTACACATATATATATATATATATATATATATATATATATATATATATATATACACACAAACAGACAGACAGACAGACACAGAGTGCAATGAGTAAATTGTTGCCATTTTATATTTTTTAATTTTGTGTATGCATGTTGTTTGTTTTTGATTACTGCACAGTATAGTCAGGTCAGTTGGGCACCATCTGTGAGGAAAAAGAGCACAGTTCACTCTACCAGAAATTTAGAAATGGCATGCTGTACTGCTTGACATTTGTGCTGGAAGCTCCAATAGAGACATTTCATAGTGTTTAGGTGTCAATCTGAGGACAGTGCAAAGGATTCAGGAAGAGTTAGATGAGTCTAATGGTGATTACGAAGATACAGCAGCTAGGAAAACTCACTCTGATCTTTCTGATAAGAAAAGAACTCCCGAATTTGTTGGTGTGGCCCTCAGACTCAACACAGAGGCCTACATCAAATGCTTTGAGGAGGTAGTGCTGCCTTGCAGCAAGAGGGTGGCTGCTCGAAGACTCAATATCTGGCAACAGGACTCTGCACCATGCCACACAAGCAGGATAACCCAGTCATGGCTGTCAGACAATTTCTGCAACCACACAACTTATATCTGGCCACAACTCTCCAGCCTGAAACCTCCTTCATTATAATGTGTTGGGCATAGTTGAGCAAGAGACCAACAAAACTCTTTGTAACACCAAAGACGAATTGAAGACAAGGATTATGGCAGCATTCACCAACAAGTAGAATGTACAGAAGAATTGCAGGAGATTCTGAAGTCTTGAGGCTGTGGTTGAAGCCAGTGGTGATTTTATTGAATAAATTTACTTTAGTATTTCAAGGTATTTTTTTTTTTATGTAATTTTGGTAAATATATCTGTTAAAATGAGATGTCAGTGTTATTTTCATTTTTGCATAATTTAGATGACAATTTATCCATTTGTATACAGGAGAGAGTCAAAAGATGGAATTGTAATCCAGATCTAGTGACAGGGTTGAGTTGGTGTACTACTCATAACTAAACTGAAACAGATAATTATAAAGGAGCTACTGGTGACTGGATTGTGTAAAGTGTTGGGTGGTGGCAAGAACATAATGATAAAGTGAGAGCAAATGAGCCTGGAAGGCAGAACCACAAATGGAGGTAGAACAAAGATGAAAGGAATGAAGCCAGAGAAAGAAGAGGGTGAAGAAAAAAAAAAATATTTAAAAAAATAAAAAATATATCAACATTTCCCTCTCTTATCCAATTCACTTTTTAACCACAATGTCAAGGAGTTACTTCAATAGTGAAATTGGTTTGGGGCCGGGGGGGAGACTCAAACAACAGTTTCATTAATAAAATAAAACTCACTTTCAACAACACAAAAGTACAAAATTATTTTCTATTGCAGCAATTCCTATAGTGTATACTGTGTTGATGGGCTCATTAGGACACACCAAGATTTTATTTACTTAATCTCCCAACAAAGGTAGGTTCTGATACAAGGACCTTTTTTTTTTTTAATGTGGGGTAACCATATGCACACACATATGGGACAAGGACAAAAATTTTCCAGTCCTTACCAGTACCAGACCACTATTATACTGATGTTGATATTACACCAACCCTACCTCTCTTGGTACATTGAGGAAGGTTTTGCTATAGGGTTCGAATCCCCATGACAAGAACAGATGCCATACATTGATCCCATATAATTCCAGGCAATCATAATTCAATAGACTAATTAACAGCTACAATAGTAAGTGATATTTAGTTCAGACATTTAAAAAAAAAAAAAAAAAAAAAATCACTATTGATGAACTTCTGGATTGTTCTAGAATTACATCGAACATTTTCAGGATATACTGGTATTTTTCTGCATTCACACTCAAACAGAATATGGTGCATGGTTTTATTTAAGTGAGAGTCCTATGTGTACATGCATCTAGGAATAGAAATTACACAAACTCTCTTGACATTTCTCCATTACGATGCCTCATGTGCTGGGAATTGACCCTAGCACTCCCAGTGGTTCTTCCTACAAATGGATCTAATGAATGGTGGTGGAATCAAAGTCTGAAGTGTTTAAATAAAAGTTTACTTGATATGTTCATACCAATAATGGAGTATTGCTGCCACATCTGGGTTTCAGCTGCCCAATAAGGCAGGTCAATTTTGGAATCGTAGTATTGCCTTCAAAGTTGGGGTTTCAACATAAATAACAACAAAAATATTTTTTTCCAAATCATTACAGTTTTTTTTTAAGGAGACAAGTTTAAAAATTAAGTTTAGGTTCAAAATCATAACATCAGAATTTAATTCTGGTGATCAGGTAAAGCCTTATAGCACAGCCTTATAAAATTTATAACTTACTGAAAATTTACAAATTGTATATGGACAAGATGCACAAGCACATTATTGCTCAGTCATTGAGCCATCAAATAAGACCTTCATTTTCTTCAAAGGGGAATTATACTCAACGATTTAGTTATATTATGATATAATATATTATACACTGCAGTAGTTTTCTTGTGATTTTCAATAAACAATGCAAATTTGAAACATTTTGTATTATAATGTGTGCCCAGTAGCATTATAATGTTATATACACATTTATCTATTTTTTTTTGTTTTTATTAATTATGATCTAACAAATTTTATTCATTTAGTAGCCTTTTTTGTAATCTTTTACAGTTTTTTACTTATTGAATACAGTAAAATATTGCATATTTTACTTGTGGTAATTCATAATTACAATTCTGGTTTGTATATATTTTCCATTCAATGTATCTAATACCAAAAAATATCAACTTTATTTGGATTTATTCTTGAAAAAGTAAAATTTTGAAGTCAGTTTGTAAGCAAAAAAACCTGCAGAAATTAGGTATTTCTGTATATTTTTTTTCAGATGATCTTTAAAACTAAATGCTCAAAAATTGGTAAAAGATGAATCTAATTTCTGGTGTCAGTACTTATTACATCAAACACCAGCTTTCACAGAGAGTGCAATAATGATTTTCTAACAAAGGTGAAAAATCAACCTGCCCTACTGCTCAATACTCTCTTTACAGCCTTGACAGAATTCAGAAACATTTACATGGTTTCACCCCACAACCCCTTTCTCACAATATCACAAGCCTATCACTACTATTGCTATTTCCATGGAAAATGTTTAGTGGCGATACATTCGTTAGTTCCACCAATTTAGATCTTTACAGCTATCCACCATGTCATGCACATGGGGGGCCAACTCATCCTCATTCTCTTCATATTCCATTGGTAAGAAGGAAGTTCCATTATGACAGCTTCTTCCCAAAAGCTGCTGCTTTGTGGAACAGGTTGCTGAGAGGATGCGTCTGATCACTACATTTGTGACTCCTTCAAATCCATGACCAACAATTATCTATCCTACATATAATCATAACCTACAATTCTTACATCCTCTTACAACAATAACACCATTCAGTAACACAAACTTGAGTGGCTCTTGGGCCTTTTATTGGGTCAACAATAGTGTCAAAATAATATAAAAAAAAAAAAAAGAACTAGCAAGTACCTGTGAAAATTAGTTTTCCCATTTAAATTTTCTGAAATATCATTTAAAGAATAAATAAACTCATTGCAAGTTCTTTGACTTAAAAAAAAAAAAACCCATGGAAATTCCACTGTTGCCTCGTTAAAACTTGAGCTTAATAACTTTAGAAAAATATTGCAAGAACAATCAAATATGAATGCAGATCATTATTTAAAGTAAGAGGGTACAAACTAAGTGATTCAAAATTGACAATATCTTCATTTCACTGAAGCAGACATTAAATTTATAAGAGTATAATCTCCTGTTTTCTTTCTTTTTCTTAATATTATGTAGGCTTTTTGTTTTAAAAAAATAAGATCCTTGTGATTTCCATGACTTTAAAATACCCATAGAAATTCCCCTGTTGCCTCATCAAATACTTGAGCTTAATAACTTTAACAAAATACTGTAATAACAATCGTAAGTATGAATTCAGGTCATTATTTAAAGAAGTAAGAGTGTACAAATTAAAATATTTGAAATTAATAAGTTTTTTTTTTTTTAATTCATTTTCACTAAAGCTGTCATTAAACATATGGAAGCATTAATGAACCGTTTCTATTTCTCACTGAAATCAAACAATCTAATATATCTTTTCTATCTTTCCTTGTGATCAAAAAGGAATAGTTCATTGTGTGATATTGGCAGGGTATAAATGCATACTAAAGAACAAGTAGAAACCTAATATGATGATAGAATTATTTAATAGAACTATTTTAGATGTAGGAGAAATTATGACCCATTTTATTATATATACACAAGAGAGATAGGAACATCATAGATGTTAACATAAGGAGATTGATAGAGAACTAAAATAAAAATAAACTGAGAAAGAAATAGACAGACATGAATAGATTAAAAGAGAAGAGACAAAATGCGAGTATGGGTGTGTATTGAAAGAGAAAGAAGAGTTTGTAAGTGGAAAGACAAGTAATTGTTCAGAGAGAGAGAGAGAGAGAGAGAGAGAGAGCGACAAAGAAACCAAAGAAGGTTATTGTGTGGAGTAAGAGAAAGTGTACTGTTTGAGAGATACTTTAGTATGCATGTTTAAGAGAAAAAGAGAAGGAAAATATGCATAACTTATTTTTATTCTAATAAAATTGGTGATATAAGTTTATTTAAATAAAACATTTAGATTAAAATCCTTGTCTATATACAAAAGAAAAAACAAGTTTGTTTTTTTTTTTTATTGACTATTAATAAGCATTGGGAAAGGAATTTACAAATCAAGTCAGAGTTGGCATGGAATAATTGGCCATGGTTAAATATAATTGAAAAAAATTCTCAACACCTGGAATTGACTAAGTACTCAAACAATAAGAAGAAGAAAACTGAGCATATATTTTACAATCAACCAGAAAATGAAACCATCACATTAGAAGGACACATGCTGAAGCAAGTAGACAAATTTCAAGTGCCTTAGTTAAGTGAAAAGAACATGGAGATCATAATTGGACAAGCCTGGGACACATTAAATATTAGAACATACACAAGGATGTTTAGGCTTATATATAGTGAGTCATGATAAGAACAAAAACAAATAAGGAGCCATACAGCAAACTACAAAGGAATGACTATGGATTAGGAAAATGTGATTTATTGGCCACATTTGAAGGGTTGGTATAGAAGATCCATTCAGTAAAGTAATCCTGTGGGAGCCTAAACATGGAAAATGAAAGAGAGACTGATTAAAACAGGTGAATGAATGTTATTAGAGAGACAAAGTTTCAGTCTATGGTTATTAGAAGATGAGTACCATCTCGATATGGTCAGGCGTCTATTGTTTGGTTGGTATTTATTGATTATTGTAATATTTTATCAATGTGATGAACTGATTTTTCACTGCTTGATTCAAAAATTGAATTCATAACCACTAGATGACAGTAATGGATGGCTGCTCGTATGCCTATCTACTAGGGCAGCTAGCCAATCCCTTTTGCAACAGCTGCTTGGGTACATTTGTTTTTGTTCAAACACTGGCAGACCCCACCCATGGCTTATATTGCAACTATGCTGAGTGGATCTTAGTTACGGTTTCTTGGTGAAAGCTCATTATCAGCCGTGATCAACTGTCTGAACAAGGCCAGTATACTCAAACCCTCAGTCACGATGACTTGTGACTTTGTGCTAGTACAACCATCAATGGTTTCCAAATAGTTCTGCCAACCCAATTTCACTCACAAGGCTCAGGTCAACCTGTTGTATGGTTTTTCAGGCATTTTCCAAAGGTGCCACATGCTGGGATCACCTCCCCCCCCCCGTCTGATAACAGCAAGAAGTTACCTTCCTGACAAATCAACCATGGTGAAATTCGAACCCAGGTCTCATGGTTAGAAAGCAAACATTCTAACCACTCAGCTCACTCTTATAAATACTAGCAAAAAATTGATCATTTAATGAAGTGTTATACAATCAACCAGAAGGTGAAATTATCATATTAGAAGGAAATAAGTTGAAACAAGTCGATGACTTCAAGAATATTGGTGCTTGGATTCAGTCACATGAAAAGGACATGAGATCAGCAGTAGCAAGCCTGGGTCATACTAAACAAAATGGGGCTTGACAACAGTTTACCAGGTTCACAGTCCCCGAGGAAGTCAATGACTTGAATAAAACAGTTGATTAAATGGAATTTATAAACACACAGTGCTGATAGGTTTTCACTGTAACAAAGTATAACAACTAATAATTTAAATAAGAACCACACCTATTATTGCTCTAGATCAGCATTCAATAAGCAGTTATATTCAACCTAATAATTAACACTAGGTAAAGTAGTAAAAATAGTGTAATGAAGCCTGAAGTGTACTTGTCAAAATATTGTGACAAAATTGCTTCACTATTTTAGTCAATTAGGCTTATTCCATTTAGTTGACCATTTTATTCAAATCCTTGTCTACTTTTTTTGTGAAGTTAGTTTTCTATGAATCTCTGTCTAAATTCTAGTGGATGTTCTGTGTATGTGTGTGTGTGTATGTCAAATTTCTAAAAAGGTCAGTCAATTATGTGCCATGTGTGATACATGCTTAGATGATCATGTATTTTTCGACACATGACTGACGAGGCAGCCCCCCCCGCAGTAGGTTGCCATTTCTTTCTGTGGTAGACCAGTTGCCATCCAAGGCTATAGAACCCAGTTTGTCCTGCTATTTACCCATAGCTGGGGGGAGAAGAAGAGGATTCATACCTTTCCCAAGGGTATTAGCACGTAAGTGAATGTAATGGATTCAATTGGAATTCAAACTCAGCTCTCAAATTCCAGTTGAGCAGGAAGAAATGGGCGATATGTGTATATGTAAGCATCAAATCTCTAGTGGGCATACTGTGGCTACCTTATGGATTCTGTGCATGTGCTTAGATGTTTGTTTTTTATTATTAATTCTGGATTAAATTTTTTAGTCTTATCTATATTTATTTTTTTTTAAGAATTTTATTTTTTTTTGTGCATATTGAGAAATCATTGAGAAACATACCAAAAATCTTTCAATATTGAACAGAAAAAAAAAAAAAATGACTTGCCATCCATTGTATGAAACAAAGACATTTCTGATTGATGAAAACATTGCTGTGTTACAAGATTCATCTGATCAAAGCCCTGACTTCAATCCCATGCAGCACTGAGGCTGCAGTTCATGACAGGAGAAGAAATATTTGGCACTGATTATGACTGAACAAAATATAGAAACAATTTTCCTCCAGTGGCTTTTAACTGTGCATGAAACATTTTCAGCATCACCATCAAATTAGATCGATATCTCCACTCGTACTCTATCAATATGCAACAGAAGGTATTACAATCCGGAATGATTACAGACGTCTCTATGTTCTCTGTCCCCTCAGGACGTAAGCAATCGCGGCCCTCTACAATTTCCTCTCCTTTGTAGCACTTTTTTTGTTATTTTGTCATTTTGTTATTTCTAAACCCTGTTCCACCATCCATTTACTCAAGTTCACTGTGTTGTTTTCCTCTGTTTCTCTTGCCTTCAATCTCTCCTGTGAGTATCAGTTTCTCCAAGGCTTCCTTCCTTATACACCAGAAACCTCAACTGTCTCTTCTTGATAAGTATAAGTTTCCTTTTTGTTTCTGCTTTCTCTAAAAGTTTGCCATTGCTCACGTGTTTGGTCCATGGAATCCTCAGCATCCTTCTGTAGAACCACATTTCTGTTGCTTCTTCCTACTCCTTGAAAATTAATTGTCAAACATTTACAGCTTCTTAACAAAAGTTGGCATATGGTGTAACAGTAACTGGCACAAAAAAACAAAATAGAACTAGAGAACAAGGTTCAAGTTCCAGTTAGTCCAATCACTTGCCTGCTACAATTGCTGATGGAGAAAAGATACTTTGGAAGTATGTTCCCTCATAATGTCCTTAAGCTGTTACAGTCATTGTCAATCTTGACAGAGATAAATGAGTATTTATGCTAAGGTCAAAAGTTGACCAAACATGTGAGTAACAAAGTTTTAGAGAAAATGGAAACAGAAAGGAAACTTATATTTAACATAAAGAGGAGACAATTCTCTAAACGATTTATCAGATTTATTAATGATCGATATTTTGAAATATTTAAAATCAAATATATATATATATATATATATATATATATATATATATATATATATATATATATATATATATATGTGTGTGTGTGTGTGTGTTTTAAATTATTTTACACCAAGCAAGGTGAGAAAGCCACTATGATGTAAGAGGTTACTGTTAGTGAAAGAATCTAAGAAAGAGACATTATCAAGCAGACAGAACAGGATTTAAGGCAGAAGATCAAAAATTTAAGTGCAAAGTTGAGTGGAAAGCAAAAAGCCAAAACAGAGTTCCACACATGAGAAATGCAAGAGGACAAACTGTTAGTAGAGAATATATGCTTACATCTAATAATTTAAACTGTAAAATGATGAAACCTGGCTCCCAAAAAAAAAAAAAAAAAAAAAAAAAATTTAATCTTTCCATCCAAAAACTGTTTGTGTACGTGATTATATGTAAAAACAAATTTTATTAAATTTAACTGACAAGGTTTGTCTGCTTAACACAAACCTTTCTTTTAAATCATATCAGTCCATGCAAGACAGTAAAGTTACTAAAACCCAATGCATTACCAAGTGTGAAAGAAAAAAAAAAAAAAAAAAAAAAACATTAAGGAGAAAGAATAGAAGAGTAATCCAGAAAAGAGTAGATAATAAATGACATTGCATTTAAATTTTTGAAGATCAAAATTGGTGCAAAAGCATGGAGCTGGAAGAGAGTTCCATAAGCAAGAAAAGAAACTGTTAGCATAGAACTTATTGTTACATCTAGCCAATTCAACTGTAAATTGATGAGACCTTGCCAACAATCTAGTACTGAACTTAAATTCATTAAGTTTATGTACCATAGCAAAGAGTTCATCTAAACAACTACCATGAAAGTATATCTATATAAAAAAAAAGGCACAGGGCAGCTACATTATGGTGGTGGGAAAGTGAAGCTGAGGTGCCAGGTCAGGACCAATAACTACCGATTCTTTGGATTTTATCAAGAATCTCTAAATATATAGCAGGTGCACCAGACCAGATATGGCAGCAATATTCAAAGCATGGATAAATAATAGACTTATAATTATGTAAGATAGACAATTTTTCTCTCCAAAATCTAGCTCAACACAGTGAACCATCTTTCTTAGCAGCAGACCTAGCAAGGGATTCAGTATAGTCTTTCCATTTCATGCCAGCTGCAAATGTTAACCCAAGAAGGTGCCTTGCCTCTTGAAACAGACTGCAATTCATTTTTTGAGATCAGCTGCCAATTTGACCTCATTGAACTGATCAAACTTACTATTGAGAGAGAGGTAAATGCTTATATCATTAACATATAAATCAATAGTTGTATTTTTCCAATTTATGATTAAAATTGTGGATAAAGTGCCTAAAGTTCTTGTTTTGTTCCATTTTTTTTAGGACTTCAACCATTTTGGACATTATTGATAATTAAATGTTCTCAGTATCATCAGCCCCAATTTTTTTTTTTTTTTTTTTATTTACA